TTCTTATCCCATCTCTCTTTACCTTTGTCTCTTTCCACTGCCAGACAATCTGCCGCTGTCATAAGGTTATCTTCCAAACCATAGGTTATCTGTCTTGTTCGGGCAGCTATGAGTTCCTCTCTGGACATCTCCTCCGCCCAGTCGACGGTTGTCCAGCTGTCGACGTGAAACTCTATGGGAAGCGGRCAATGTCGCCCAAACCACAAGGTGTACGGTGGGTATCCGGTACTAGCCCGGACCGTGACGTTGTCCGCCCAAATTGCGTATCGAAAATATCGTGACCAATCATTGTCCTTGCCTTTGCACCACTTAGATAGCGACGCTATCAGGGTCTGGTGCCCTCTCTCTACTGGGGAGTTCGACTGTGGGTGGTAGGCAGTGACTATCGAAACTCTCGCCCCGGCTCTCTTGAACACGCTCTGAACCTCGTCGGCTAGGAATTCCGCCCCTCTGTCCATCACTATCTTGCTGACACAACCATACCTAGATAAGTACTCTAGGACAAAGTTCTTTACTTCCTTTGCCGTCTTACTCCTGATAGGTCTACCGTCCACGAAACCCGTGAAGTCGTCTCGTATGTTAACAACATAGTTCATATTGCCCACCCCTTTCGACATCTTCACTAGATCGATGTGTACCTTCTCTCCTGGTCGGGTTGGATAGGATGGATGAAGTGGCTCTTTGTATTTCACAAGAGCTCTCTTCTGGCACTCTTCGCAGGTCCTACAATACCTCTCGACGTCCTTATCTTGTCCTTCCCACCAGTACAACCTGCGTACCTTTTCGTAGGTTCCTTTGACTCCCATGTGTCCTCCGACTACCCCGTCGTGAAGCTCCGCAACTATTGTCTGTCTCTCCTCAGGATCACAGACTACTGGTAAGGGCATTCCCGACCCTACTGGCCTTCGAAACAGATGGCCAACTCTAAGGCAGTACTGGGCCGCTTGTCTCCGGATATCTGATTCTTGACTTTCCTTTCCTGACAAATGTAGCCCGATCATTCGGTATTTGCCCTCGTAAAGGTTAACCAAAAAACGCTCGGTGCGTCTTGGCTCTGCCATAGTCAGGGCCCCAGCTACTATCGGGCGCTCGGCCTCAAGAGGGATGCGCGAAAGTCCATCTGCCACGACATTTTTAGTGCCTGATATCCTCTCAACCGTGTAATCGTATAGCCGAATCCGTATTAACCATCGGGCGATGGTCGGGTCCATCAGACTAAAGTCCTTCTGGAGAACAGAGGCAACCGCGGTGGGGTCTACTCTCAAGATGAACCGTCGTCCATAGATATAATGTCCGAACGTGTCTAGACACCGCAGAACAGCTAATACTTCCTTCTTGAATTGACTGTAGTTTCGCTCTGCCGTATTCAATGTCCTACTCTCAAATCTTAATGGTCTTTCCTTCCCTTCAGCGTCCTTCTGAGACAGCAACCCTCCTACCGAACAAGGCCCAGCATCCGTAGCTACTATGAAAGGTCTCCCAGCCTCATCATCAAAGTACGGCACGCCCAGTACGCGTCCTCCCTCCTTAAATTCATCTTTAAGCTCCTGCATAGCGAGTTCCTGCGAGGAATCCCAGTAGAATTTCTCAGTTTTTCGAAGGAGTAGTCTCAATGGCTCAGCCTTCTCTGCATACCCTCGTATGAATATTCGCCAGTAACCGACCACTCCCAGAAACTGCCGGACCTCGGTTGGACTGTGTAATGGTGACGGCCAGTTCAGGAGTTTGTCTAACTTCGCTGGATCTGCTCGGCGTCCCCTCGAGTCACAGATAAAGCCCAAGATCTTAATAGTCGAGACGGCCCATCGGCTCTTTGTTCCGCTGACTGTTAGATTCGCATCGTCAAGCTGCTCGAGTACCGCGCAAATATCCGTTAGGTGCTGCTCGACGAATCTTCTAACTCCAGGTGCAACCTCTGCCTCATCTTTGTTTACTGGCCCTTTTATAGGAAAGTCATCCAGAAAAACTTCAACCTTATCAGGGATGAAGTCCTTGAGGACGGCTACCATGACTCTCTGAAAAACGGCTACCCCATTAGTCCAACCCATAGGGACAACCATCATCTGTATCAGTCCCAATGGCGTATGCATAGCCGTGAGGTGCCTGTCTCTAGGATGAAGCGGTACCTCATCATAACCTGAGAACAGATCACAGACCGAATAAATCGACCTACCTGCGGCACCTTGTGCCAGTAAATCGGCGTGTGGCACAGAGCCCACGTCAAGGCATACGGCGATCCGGGCCTCGCTAAGGGAGTGGGGCGAACAGTTAGCGCAGGTGTGGAGCCGATGGCTTGCGTGGCACGGCGACAACCTCGTCGTCACCAACAACGTCGACGTCGACGGGCTCCGCACATCCCGACACGAGCCGGCGGTAGCGCTCCCAGAGCTCGTCCCTTTTCTGCGTCCT